CCCCCGGAAAACGTTTTGCTTCCGCTGATTACGGCTTTGTCCTCAATCACACATTAAAAAAGGAAATGGCGAAAAACAATGTCACAGTTTCATTTAGAGCAAACAACAAACTGAGCTCAATGTTGAAGGAAAATAATAATAAACAAACAACCAGGAAGGAGGACAAAACTGGTGTTTACAAGCTTCAGTGCGATGACTGTGAAAAATATTACATAGGCCAAACATCTCGTTCATTTCATATAAGATATAAAGAACACATCCCTTCCAGTAAAAAATCTGATTCGAAATCAACATTCGCCAACCATCTAATAAATGAAAACCATAATTATACAAGTTTTGAGAAGAATTTAAAAATACTACATCTCTGCCCAAGAAAAGGAAGTTTGTTAAACAGCATGGAAGAGTTTGAAATATATAAAGCCATCAAGTCAGAACCCCAAAAAGTTTTAAATGAACAAACATCATTTAAATCAAACATAATATACGACGCAGCGATTCGCATCTACAATAATGAGAGGCAAAAATACCATCGGCATTGTTCTGATAACGGGAGGGGGCAGCAAGGTCAGCCACAACCCCAGTCATGACAAAACGTTTACCCGTGCCGCGTCGTGTGGGAACTAGTTCCAGTTTTTTATGTTAAATATATTCGTATCGTATCCGTCAATGTCTTGTAACTTATTTATTTAAATGTCAGTGTTTTGTGTGTTTATAAAACTCGACGACCTCGCAAGAGTGACAAGAAGCCTGATGATGAGGTTATAACCTCGAAACCGGTAGCTCATACTACAAATTAGGATCACAGACAGAAACAGGTAATCTTATACCATTTTAATTTTCAAGAAGTGATCCTGGACCAAATAACATCATTATGAAGTTAATCGCCAGTCAAGCGAAATTGGTTTTTCAATACAAGAATTTGAAACTTAAAGTTTTAAAAACACACGAAAACATAAAGTTTAATAAAACGTGCCTAGAAATCGGGGTTGTACCTAAATATATCTCTGTAAAAGTCAATTGTTCGTCAAAGTCTGCTAAACGAGCTAAGAAAACTGCTGAAAATTGTTGGATCAAAAATGAAATTAAACATCTTTATTCCAAAAAGAACATGTTAAATAAGCTATTGTTTCAAAAGCATTTGGAGTTACTTAATGACGTACACCCCGCACAAATTAATGATATCATAAATGAAATTGAGACACAAATCAGTAGAAAAATTGTAACTAAAAAGAAAACCCAGAAACGTAAAATTGATTTCCTATTTAAAACCCAGATACAAGAGGAAGAAATAGATTGTGGGCATAAATTCTTTCCAAGAGTCATAAACTATACAAACATTGTATTTGATGAGGTCGAGACCCAATTGCTCAACAAAGGACTCAATTATAATTTTCCTAAAACCAACACAAAAAGCCTTCTAAGCGAAATATTCCAATCAGAATCCGTAATAAATACTCTTAAGTCTGAACAGAATCAAAACATTGCTAGAGTCGCAATAAACAACAAAATCAACCAAACAATAAAAAATCCTAAACGCAACAGTAAATATGCTTTGAAATACAGACGGCAACAACAAGTCGCTGCAAGCATAAGAGATAAGCTCAGAGACAGTGACGCACTGATAACTAAGGCAGACAAGGGGAACTCTATAGTCATTATGTACAGGCAAGATTACCTCAGTAAAGTTCAACACTTCATAGCGATGAACAACATTGAAAAACTGCCTAAAGACCCAACAGCTTCCTTTTCCAAAGATATAAACAAGGCTATTAGTAATAGTAAACATCTCCTAACACCAGTTGAAATAAAAAATTGTAAAATTACCAACCCAAAGGCCCCGCTTCTAAGAGGATTACCAAAAGTACATAAAGACAACGTCCCAGTTCGTCCTCTGGTCAATTTCATCCCCTCCCCTGCTTACAATATCGCCAAAAAATTAGAAAATATTATCAGGAATGAAATAGTCATTGACAACAACCGTAGCCTAATCAATAGCCTTGACTTAGTAAACAAAATATCCAACACTCAGTTGAACAAAACACATACCCTAGCATCGCTAGATATTGTGAACCTTTACACAAATGTACCAATCCCCGAAACTCTTAAGATCCTAGAAGAAAATGTTAAGAAAAAAAAAAAATTCTAAACTATCAGACGAAGCAAAAATTGAACTTATCAACCTAACAACACTGGTCTTGAAGCAGAATTATTTTCAATTTAACAACGATTATTTTATCCAAAGCGATGGCCTAGCAATGGGTTCCCCACTTTCTGGGATACTAGCAGACCTATTCTTGAACAAATTCGAAAATCAACACATTCTTTCAAATGCCAACCGTTACCATGACAAAATAATGTTTTACCACAGATATGTTGATGACATAATAATCCTGTTTAATGGCAACATCAGACAGCTCAACCTAATGAACAACAATCTCAATAAGATCCACAGAAATGTACAATTCACACTTGAAACAGAGAATAATGATTCAATAAATTATTTAGATCTCAAAATCACAAAGATCGACTCAAAACTTAATTTCAGTATATACAGGAAACCTACAGCTACTGACCAAACAATACACTGTTCATCACATCATCCTTATAATCAAAAAATGGCCGCATACAACAGCTTGGTCCATAGGCTATTATCCATCCCATTAAATCCTGCTGATTATAAAAAAGAACTTCTGATTATAAAACACATCGCAATAGCCAATGGTTATAAAAGCACAATTATTGACAAATTAGTAACCCGACATAAAAATAAAAATACAAAAACTGAGACCGATCCACCCACCCCCGGAAAACGTTTTGCTTCCGCTGATTACGGCTTTGTCCTCAATCACACATTAAAAAAGGAAATGGCGAAAAACAATGTCACAGTTTCATTTAGAGCAAACAACAAACTGAGCTCAATGTTGAAGGAAAATAATAATAAACAAACAACCAGGAAGGAGGACAAAACTGGTGTTTACAAGCTTCAGTGCGATGACTGTGAAAAATATTACATAGGCCAAACATCTCGTTCATTTCATATAAGATATAAAGAACACATCCCTTCCAGTAAAAAATCTGATTCGAAATCAACATTCGCCAACCATCTAATAAATGAAAACCATAATTATACAAGTTTTGAGAAGAATTTAAAAATACTACATCTCTGCCCAAGAAAAGGAAGTTTGTTAAACAGCATGGAAGAGTTTGAAATATATAAAGCCATCAAGTCAGAACCCCAAAAAGTTTTAAATGAACAAACATCATTTAAATCAAACATAATATACGACGCAGCGATTCGCATCTACAATAATGAGAGGCAAAAATACCATCGGCATTGTTCTGATAACGGGAGGGGGCAGCAAGGTCAGCCACAACCCCAGTCATGACAAAACGTTTACCCGTGCCGCGTCGTGTGGGAACTAGTTCCAGTTTTTTATGTTAAATATATTCGTATCGTATCCGTCAATGTCTTGTAACTTATTTATTTAAATGTCAGTGTTTTGTGTGTTTATAAAACTCGACGACCTCGCAAGAGTGACAAGAAGCCTGATGATGAGGTTATAACCTCGAAACCGGTAGCTCATACTACAAATTAGGATCACAGACAGAAACAGGTAATCTTATACCATTTTAAACATAATAAAAACCCATTGGTTTGTTCTTCATATCAGTTTACCTTGTACTTTTGAGAATAGTTATATTTATATTAGGTACGGTTCCAACCAAAGTATAAATAAAATCAAAACACACTTGTTCAAAGGAGTACATAAACAAGTAAAACTATACTACAGGAGTTCCTTCCTCGAATACTCTGCAATAATTGTTCACAGTATACCAAACTTCTGTTTATTTTTTACTTGTTTGAATCAAAATAAAAAGTTTGTTATTATTTGAATGAAAATGTATTATTAATGGCTATAAATAAAAACACAGACTTCTATCAACTATAAATAAATTACTTATTAAGTATTTTGCAATTCAAGCTTTGTCATTGAGGATTTATCTTTTGGCAATATAAGTAGGAAATCATTGAACAATTTGGAGTAAGGTCAAGGTTAACATGATAGAAAATTTTTGTCAAAAAAGACTTGGTGATCTAAATTCAAACTATCAAAATCAGCAACAAAGATTATGATGGGTTGGTTTGTAATTTATTTTTTATTTAAATTACAGAAAAAGTTAATTTAGCCCTGAATCATCATGGTACAGATCTCCAAGAATGTGATGACAAAATTGAGCTGGTAACATCATACAGTTAAAAATAAAATCTAAACTTGACCTTGGTAACTCCCACCAAAATCAGCTGTTTCTAGAAATATTATGTAACTGTTACAGCTGATTTCCCACACATTGTTTTGCATAGTATGACATAGAATGGCAAGGTTGGGTGTTAAGACTTCCAGCATTTTTGTACAACTGCAGATTCAGTGATGAATAGTAACTTACCCATCAGGAAATATATAATAATAATCAAAATAGGCATGTTAATTTAAATCTTTTAACTAACTCGTACATTCTAAGATACAATTAAAATGATTATCCACAAACAACTTCAATACATGGTTGGTATAAATGAATAATTCATTTAATAAAAAAAAAAATACTATCTAAAAAACCATTAACCAATTGATAAATGGATTGTATTTTTTGTAAACTAATGTTATAACACGTAATAAATAATGAAAAACTAATTATAATAAACTAGATGTCGTCCAGTGGTTGAAAATTCGACCAAAAATATCTTATGTACATACTTCTCTATTTTCATCCCACGCTGTAAATAAAACATGTGATTGGAATTACTTCAATTTGTTTTGATTTTGTGTTTATATTTCATTGTTATTTCGTCACCAGAAAGGCAACCCACAAGACCCATGTTTTTTTTTAATTTTTAATTATTTTTTTGTGCTTATTTTTGAGCCTATTTTAATTCATAAAGGGTTCTGCACATGTACAGGAAAATATCTTTCTAACAGTATGCGTAGATTTTGGTTACTGCGATGCACACGAGCTGAGAAAAAAGGCTTTAAAGAAACAGCTTGCCTATTAATTTATAGATAGCTTAGGCTGAGCTAATGGTCACACAAAACAACAAAACTTGTGTAGATGGCTGTTTGTGCTTGATCTTTTAACAATCGATAAGAATATCAATTGATATTCTTGATCAGTTGATCATTTCAATTGACAGACACCTTTATTGGTAATTCTTTAAACAATCATACATTAGAATAAACTAACTCAGTCACTTACTTAACAGTAACAAATCTTGACTAGACTAACTTTAACTTATACTTCTCCATGGTTGTTGGGTGGAAACTCCAGTTCAGTAACGACAGATAAAATTCTCATCTTGGCTTCCGCTCTGGCTTTTGGAGAAAGTCTTTTCACCGTGAGAGCCACACTTCTCATAAATATGTCAATGTCGTCTTCACTGTCCACTCTTTGGTTGGAGTAGGCGTTCACCAGTGTCCTCGGGGCCCAGGATGGGTCAGGCTCCTCCAGAAAGTGGACACTCCCGCACTCGGAAGGCTTACGGTAACTTGTGTCAGCCTCTTGCTGAGGAGTCTTCACATCGATAAACTCGGACCGTGGCTGCAAGTCTGTCTGGGAGTCCTCTTCCACTTTGACAGTCATTTCTGGCTCGTAAATATCAAGACTGTTGTCCGCAGAGGGGTCGGAGAGGTCTTCACAACTTGAATGTCTAAAAAGAAAGGAATGCTGAAGAGATATAAATATAAAAAGTGAAGTGACTACTTTTTTTTTAAACACTACTGTTCAAATTTTTTGCTTGTTATATGTATGAATGTCCATAAACACAATAACTCGAGTAATTTTGGTAGGATTTTTATAAAAAATAGGACAGTATCAACTTGAGTTCCCGAACCAGTAAAATCTGGTCACAGCATTAGTGTTATACAGTTTTAGATTTAGTTTTAGACGTGCCTACCCAGCAGATAACCGAGAGGTTATTGCTGTAGCACGTAGGCAAGTCCCCTGCGTGGGACGAACTTGTATTTTGTTTTGAGTATTTTAAAATAAAGCGCTTATTCATTCATTGATTCATTCATTCAAAGTTTTAGATTTTTTTATTATGTTATTTCAAATTTGTATCCTTAAACATAAAAATTCCCTATGTCCATTACATTTCAGAAATCATGTTTAATCAATCCTAATGATGTTATCTAAACAGGGAATAAATCTGACATGTGTAAGGAAATATTTAAGTAAAAATTCAATGATCGGGTTTTAACTGCTGGTTTGCTGATGCATATTTTACATATTTAGCTGGGTCTGATAATAAATGCCTAGAAGAGCTGTTCTTTATGATCAGATCGTTTTATTTGGTTAAACAAGCTTTTCAATAATAACAAATAATTTTAAACAAAAACACAACCTCAGACGCAACTAACATTAAAACGTCAGCTGCTCAATAAGATTGACAAATCTTACAAAGGCAGTATGTTTAATTAATGGTATTAACTAATTAGGCTTTTTCCTATTTTATGTATATTTCTTTATACCTCTTTTTCCTTTTTGCTCTGGCCAAGAAATGCAGGCTTTCATACAGTGACCATCTTGGGGCCCACTTCTTGTCTTTGCTCTGTTCATGTTTCCTCTTAGTTTTGAAGTAATGATCCCTGATATCCCTCCACCTTCTTTTGCATTCACTCTCTAAAAAAAATAAAACAATCAATCAGTAATTTATCATGGCGTACTTAATTTTGTCGACTATTTTAGGAGAGCTTTATTATAGAAAAAATACTTCACCAATAGTGTGGTGAACATTTATTTTATATTTAGATTTTAGTACAGAAATACCCCCGCTGCAGCAAACCTGCAGACTAAGCAGATTTCAATCTGTCTGAGGCCTTTTTCATAATAAAGTACAAACTAATATTATTAGTAAATCAGCTGATCACCCAATGCAAATCTAGTTTATGATGAAATGGGCCCCTGAATGGGGGCCTGATTTTTATTCATTTTTTCATAAATAACAAGTCATATTTATTCTCTATTTAAATAATGTTAGATTTAACGAGTTCTTATAGGTTTCCTGCTACAGTGTCTTGGTAATTCAAACACTCGATAAATCAAAACTTTCGATAATGCATACATTTTGATACACTCAGTCTTTCAAAGTCCAAGCAGAAGGCATGGCCGATTTGGAACAAACAATAATTCAAAGTTTCATCGCAAAACACAAACTATAATTATTGGGATTCCTTCAGTCATAACAGGAAACTATACATCCTGTTAGCACAGTAGTTCCTCTTGAATTACATCATTGAGGACTTGAAAATCAATATCAAAAAGCAAACAAAAATAAAATTTTTTTTGTAGCTACCTAAAAAATCTGTATTTTGTAAAATAAAAACTAAAATAAGCTGTTGATGAGTGACCCATTTCGGGGCAAGATAGTGTTTTACACGACGTCGAGCATGGGAAACACTATCGAGCCCCGAAATTGGACTTTCGTGACGAGTATTGAACGATACTTTTCATCACGATGAAAAAAACTTGTTGTAACTTTGTTGATGTCAGGCAAATTATTGTTTGTGTAAGTAATGTTTAATTGAAAGTTTGTGTAAGTTTGTGAAGTTTGTGTAATTGAAAGTAATGTTTATGTCAGGAAAAGTCAGCTGATCACTATTTGTTTTTGGTGTATGGAAATTGAATATTTTCGAAGATCTCAGCTGTATGGAAATGGGCTATTTTCAAATACATGGATGAAAAGGTGTTTTTTTTATCAAATGTTAATAGTAGGATAAATAAAAAAATCTTTAAATTGGATAAAAATTATATCTCCAAACAAACTAAACTTTATTAAAACAGTTTTCCTTTTCTCCATTAGAACAATACAGGAATTTTAAATAAACAGTTTGTTTATCCCTTTATCGTGCAATTAACAATGCTTCAATATACTATTTGTGTAATTTTTAAACATGGTAGTTGTAATAAAAATCGGGCTTTTATGTTTTAGACGGCAAATTTTGAAGAAAAAAATTTTCCTAATGTAGTACAGATAAATAATTCTAAACTACCTAGTTGTATCATTTTCCCGTGATTAAAAATTTTCATATGAAAGAAAACCTCAAATGGAAGAATACCTATACACAATCATCAAAAAGGAGATAGATGAATGAAAGAGCAAAAGAAAAGTCATATCTTGGAGGCTAAAAAGGATAAAAATACAGGATCAGATTTGTAGTAACTTAACCAAACAAGTAGTTAATGGGTGAAGCAAAACACCTTGTTGGGCATAAATATACAAGACTAAGCTAGTCGAAACAACAAAAAATCACCATGGCTGCTATACTAAATAACTTTTAAAAGAATCCAAATTTAAAGATATACTATCGTTTAGTGGTGTAGCAGATAAAAGTTACGTCTGTTTACAAAACCACAGAGTGTATACATATTCATAAGCATATGTTCATCATCAAATTAGTGTATAATTAAATACAGTATCCAGGTGCTTATAATGTCGGGGAAGTTTAGACACTCAAGTTTGGTGCTCTACAGAAAAGTATTCAAAACTACTTAGAAAAACACGGATTATATATAAATTTCCGTTGTTTATTTCTACATAGTACTTATTCCTGAAACAAAAAACGGTAAAAACCCCTGTTAAGTAGAATGATATCAAAAACCATCTGACTTAGAAAATTTGCACAATATTAACTAAACGGCAGAACTTTATCAAACTTTAAGACAATAATATAAGGAATTAATTTGTATGGTGTCAGGATTTTTACTTTACCCAAAAAGTTTTGTTTGTTAATTTTCCAAGTAAACTTTTTCTAAAAAACTGCAAATGATAGAAAAAATTTTAAAGCTTTGTTATCTTATGAGATGGTTTTTGATACTGATTGTTAATGAAACAGGGTTTTTTTACCTTCTGACCATCATACAAAATTTTCTAAACAAGCTAAAATTTTTTTAGATATAGGCCAACTCCGTGTTTTTTCTAAATAGTTAGGTTACTTTTCTGTACAGCTCCAACTCGAGGGTCTAAACTTTTTTCCCTAGGATCACTGCTAGAGAGAGAAAGATATAGAGTGGTGGGGGGGGGGTCTATTGGTATATTCAGCTGTGGACAAAAGGCTGGGGGACCCTTACCTACTCAACAGCTGTGGGGACCCCACCTTCACCCAATTCATGTGGGCACTTCCGTCCATACCAATAAGGTGAGGGGAATAAAAACAATAATGTGAGCATAATTGCTCACAAGATTTAAAGCAGAAAGGAAATTATTATAAGGTCAAACACACTATATGCACTATTTAGTCTTTATTTTATAAATTGTCAATTAGTCAAACATCAAACAATCAATCTGAATTGAGAAAATTAATTTCGAATGAAAGGTTTAATTCTAATTAAATTATTAAATCAATGAAAAGATATAGCAATCCCATGAGAGTTTGTAAACAAAGATGAAAGATTTATCTTCCATTGTGACATTTTAATATTTGTTTTGCAATAGACTCTACAGTTTAAAATTGACTTAGTAGGAATGGGCGGGGTTTACCAACAGAAATTTAACTCAATTTAATATCGAGTAGTTTTAAAATTGAGCGTCAGCGCGGACAATATCACTCAAAATGGCGAGGGAGGGAATAGTTCAGGCTTCCAGGACAAATATAGGTAAGTTCATACAATTAAACAATGTAGCTAAGTTAATTTACTACAAAAACATAAATCTACATACAAAAATATGCTCTATTTTATTGTATTTTTGTTATCAAAGCACTTTCTAAAATCAGCAGAAGTTATTAAATTCAAAAATGCTACAGTAGTGATTAACGATTGTCAAATCGATGTATTACGCTTGCGAATATCAAATGAATGAATATCCCGATTGACTTTAATTCCAACATCAATCCATCGACTGTTCTAAGTGGTTTGCGATAAGTAGTCAACACATCGAGTACTCACCGTTCACACCGACTTCTGCCGCCACGGCTCGCCAGTTCTCTCTCATGCTTTCATGATTTTTGGTAACGGATAAACCCTCTTGGCTGTACAGGTTGGGGAAGGATTTAACACTGTTGACGAGCAACAAGTCGTCCGAATGTGAGAATCTACGAAAACCCATTGACAATAATAAATAACTCGTGAAACGAACGGATATCCCACTGCTCTACTTATAACTATATGCAATGCAGCTGTCCGTGTCCGCCTATCCCTATCGACCGTGCGGGCAGAGTTTGCGGTTTAGACTTGCGCAGAGACTACTGCGCAGCGGTAGAGCAGGGCTGCCACTTTATGCGGGCGGAAATTAAATTTCCCTTTAAATTACCCACCGCACTCGTATGGAACTAAATTTCTACCCGATTATTTGTACATACATATTTCCGTTGTGGTGCTTAATTTTCTTACGATTTTGTCATAGTAGTAAATCTCTTGTGTTTTTTACATATTTATAAATAATTGTGGTTTAATTTGCCACATCACACCTTTAACTTAACTTCTTCATCGTGTGATAAAAATATTGTTGCGGCTGCCGGCTACATTTAATAATTTTAAGTTAAGGTGGCATATAAAAGAAGTAATAATGTATAACTTTACGTCGACACGGGGAAACTTCTGTGTATTTTGAACCTGCATGAGTAAAATATGATTGGAGTCTAGAATTAGATGAATTGTGTAGTACGTTTTCTGTGGTCAGACGAGAGTCCAGTTAAAAAAAAATTAAAAATTTTCTAGTATTGAACAGAACTGGCAACTGATAATCAGAAGAGGAAGTCCTCTCAGCAAACCAGCTTTTAAGCTCATGTAATTAATTAAATTTTGTCACAGTTTGTTTAAAAAGAAATATTGGTAACCACATTTTTAAATGTGTGAAATAGCCATAAAGATTATTTCAAATATCCACCACGAAATTTGAATACAGACATTATTAAAAACAATGATCGTGATGAGTAAACAATTCCTTATTTTACAATAACCTGTTACTGTACGTCAAACGCCGTTGTTCTGAAAAATGCTGAAAAACTATATCCTAGAATAGATTATGAAATAATTAACATTTTAAACGGTTTTACGTTTAAATTTCCCCATATTAACAATCACAATGTCACATAAAAACATATTACTACAAATTGAGCCATTAAGGGTTACATAACCTTCAATTTGCCATTTAATTGTTTCCAACAAAAGATAATAACAATTGGGTTTTCTTGAAGATAACGGCGATCAAAGGTCTGCATTGATAACAGTTGTTTTGATTCCAGTTATTCTACTTAACGCAGTTACAGTCATTTGATTGTAATTGATTTAAGAGAAATTAGTTTGCAAATATTTTTCAAATCGTAAACAATGATAGAACGAAATCTGTGTTTTTCGTGGTTGTAACTTTTGGTAGTTAAATTTTTCCTCCTACGTCATTTATTAATGTTTAGTTCATATACAGGCTATACAGAATGAAATTGCACTTTTGTACCTAACACTGTTAGGTTGCCTATGATATTAAGTATTCTATCTGAAAGCACAAGAAATAGTCAAATAACACTTGTAATAATATACCTAATTATTATTACAATTATTATTATTACATTATTATTTTTACATTACAATTAAATTATTATTACAAATCAACCTCTTACCATCTTTTACATGTATTTGCAGTCTTGTGAGTAAACAGTGTAAGTGTAAATATATTATTACAAGTGTTATTTGATGTAATTCTTTTTTTAGGATATTTGATAATTTATAAAGGCTACTTAAATTTTATAATTTGTCAGATAAAAATACAAGTTTTATTTGACGTAATTAATTTTTTTTAGATTATTTAATAATTTATATAGGCTACTAATATTGTATAATTTGTCAGATAAAAATAATTTTATTGTATTCATTACAATTAGTAAATGAGCCAAACAATAGCTTAATATAATAAAAAACTTCACGACGATTAAAATTTCATTTGTATTCACAAAACAACCCAGACGTTAAATGTTAACAAGAATTCTTCGAGTTTGACAACATTCTCTATGTTTAGCTGAGCTTCAAATTATGTGTTCCTGGTGCTCCAAATGTTATTACGTATAGTTCTATTTTTTTCTGGTCGAAATAAGAACTAACAATGGTTGCAAATTATTGGACACCAACTCATGCGCTGCCGACAAACAAAACTCCTACTTGAAACCTACGCTAGTTACGCATACTTGAAGAAATATTAAATCTTTACTAACATCTACTTCCTGTTTATCATGAAGAGGCTGCATATTAGTAATTGAATTAATAACAAATTAGATACAACTTGTCTGCATATATATGCTAATTTCTATAAAGCTACTCATTTCCATGAAGGAAGATGTTCATTTTCGTGGAAATTATAGCTTGTCATTTTTTATTTTCGTTGAAATAAGTTTAGTCAATTATGAGTCACAGATTACTCAAGGTACAGTATTAAGCACAGATATATAATTTATAAGCTATATTTATAGGCTTGGTACAGATAAAATTAATTACAAACTTAAATGAATGAAACAAGTTTGACTGTACAATTAGAATGGCTTTTACTGGAAGTGATAAGAGAAATGTGTCAAGGGATGTTGAAGTTTATTTGTGATATAAGTTTGATCTACAGACATACATTATTTGTAGTATCCTACATTAATAATTTAAAAATTGTGATTCTTTGGAAAAAAAAATTACTATGGGAGGTTTTACTTACATGTAACTGGTAACAAAACATACCAAAGAAATTTTAATCCTATGTTTTCAATATACTTCACTGCTTTCTTTGCATTATTTTTTAATGTTAATGGGATTTTCTAAAAGTTCATGTAATTCCATATACGACAGCCGATTAAATTATGAACTATAGTAGTTTTGTTGAGATCATTTGTATTGAATTAAGCGTTTTCTTACAGTCTGTAGCCCGTATGATATTGCAGTCTTATGGGGGTTCCGTCCTTGACGATTGTGTTACAAACCTTATATTCTGTGGGACTATAATCGATAATACTATGAAATAGAGACGTTAAGTATATTATTGTTCCGAGTGAACGCAGAAGCTGTTACTGTAAATATTTGTATTCGTAATTTTTCACGTCGAGACGAGTTGTCAATTGTATCAAAGATGAATTGTTCGATTTTAGAACTGAGTTAAAAGATGAATACTGAATCACTTGGCTAAAATCATAAGAAGGTCAATTGAAAGGCACGATTACCCAAACCTAACAACCTAAACAAGTAATTAAGAACCTTTACAAGTTTCAAATGTATATAACGTTAGTTAAGGTTAGTTATTTTAGTTGGTTTGGTAATAGAGCAGCTGTTTTAGCGCCCGCCTTGTGATGATCTAGAAGTTTGCCGGATCGATTCTGAGAAAAGTCAGTGGCTTTTTGATGGTTCGAAACTGGGCTCAACTATACTTGATCATCGGTAATATATTATTCTGGCAAAATAAACAGTCTTAATCACTAGCCACGCTTCACAAGTCTTCTTACTCTTTTACTAAAACGTATGTTAAAATTCGCCAGCTACGTTATGTCAATTCTCACTAGTAATGGCAATGAAGTCAAAAGTCTATGAAGTGGACAGCAGGAAGACAAGAATTGCATCGCAGAACCTCGACCTTTGCGGATTAACGTTTGTGGTCCAGTGACTGCCAAGGACCAAGGTCCCTCAGCTCTGGTTGTAGATGACTCAAGAGATTATGAGATGAAACATCTCACTGAATTGACGGGACCAGGATAAACCGACGAGAAACGCGCGGATTTAAATCCGACCTTGAATTCCATCGATTTGACTTCAACCGTGCGCACTTTGTTGTATTAACTACAGATTTGAACCATTGACTTTGACGGTTTGTATTCATTGCTTTGACTGAGGCGAATTAGCAGCTCGTTCGGAGAAGAGTCATACATGGTGCAACCAAGTCAATGAAGTCGTTGGTTAGAGCCTTGAAGGAATTTTAAATTCATTTTTTTGGATTTTCTAAGTAACCGATAACCGCACAAAAACATTATGCAAATTATTTGTTTTTAGAGCTCTACAAAATGGGTTGGAATGAAATTACAAAAGGTTATGTTTCAGGGTGAAAATGGAATAACCCCATTTTTAACCCGTAAAACGGGGCATAAAACCCCGTTCCGAATGAAAACTGTTTTAACTTAACAAAATGAAACGTTTGTTTTGTAAAATTATAAAAATTTGTTGTTATTTGTTATTATAATAAAATAGTCATACACATGCTCTAAAATCGACCCTAAAATATAAGATGAATTCATTTGTTACTCAATGGGTTGGAAACATACAGCACCCTCTAACCATTCCAGACTTGAAACACACACCAAACAAGGTTCAGACTGTAAGATGATAAGCCTAATATCAGTATCAAAAGTCATGTTTAAATTACAATATCATAATATTTACCGTATTCTAATTTTTTATTCATGTTGCTTGAACTAAATATAAGTCATAAGTAATTTATTTGGCCAGAATTACATATATGTATTTACATACACATCAGTAAAACTCAGGTATTAATTCTGAATTGTTAGGCCACTAAAGCTAGCTGATGCTATATTATAATCTTTGGTGTGTTTATACATTTACTGACAGTTGCAATTTGTACTTCTAGAGCCAATGGGACGAGGTTTGGCATAGGTCAATAGGTCACTCTCTTAACATTACAAATCAAATGAACGAAGCATAATTCGTAGCCCAGTAAGCTATGTTTTATAATCAGAAGAATTTTAATTTATAAAAAAGTTATGAAGCTAAATATATTTTTCCTTTGAGTTTATTGTTATGGAAAAGTTAAGAAATTTGAGACTTTTTATGTTTCGTCTGAGTGATTTTTGATAGTGAAAACATACCTGTATTGTGATGTAGCATTTTGGACCACAGATATTATAAGTATAAAAAAATATCAATTTGCTGTCACATATGTTATAGTTACAATAGGTGTTGAAACTTATTTTCATCAAAGCTGTATCATTGTTAAATATTTTCTAATATTCTTTGTTGAGCTTGAAATAATTTTTAGAAAACGTTAAAAGTATATTGTTTATTTTGGAATTAGGAGTAGGAATTTACTACCGGGAGAGAAAATGTGTAGGACATCGGTACTTATTTTATGTAAGATCACAAAATGTCTTAGATATTTAGATACGAATTCAAAACACTTGTATAGTAAATGAGTTTATGATTGATCTTA